TGAAGGTTAAATGATGGAATGAATAGATCTCTCACAGATGAAGCTCTCTCAATCAATAACCTTCTTCACATTGTTGTTCTGGTATATATAGATAGGTTAAGAAATCAATGAGCCAAGAAAAAAAGCCTTTAAAACGCGAAAATAAAATTTTGCGTATAAAACTGTCGCTCGAACGAAGGGCAACGACAGTCGAGCGACATGGTGTAGCTCGAGCGAAGTAGGGATGACGGTCTAGCAACAATGTTTCTACTTTTGTAGCTCGAGCCAACCATTGACGACAGTCCAGCGAAAATTCGCGTCGTTTTCTTCCTTGTTCCAAACTCAAAATCCCGGACCTATTTAACTAACTTTTAAATTGCACATTACTCCTTGAACTTTTACACTCTTTCAATTTAAGTCATTTTGTTCACAGAATTTGCCAATTACAAAATCAACTAAAACCTAACAAATGTTTTTTTGTTTATATAAGTTTCAACCCCCCTTATTGAAAATCCTGGACCCGCCACTCCCTACGAAACCTAATTATTGGGGTTCGTAGCTTGTATAGATTAGTCCGCACATACCCATTTTAAGAAAAGGAAAGAAACTTCACCAAAAAGTGAAAGTTCCATAAGTTCAATATTACCTTACTGACATCCTCATACGCCTCTATATTGGCCAAGCTCCAGCCTAACCTGCAATTCATTAAGAACATGTTTGGCTCAAGTACATAAAATTTACTTTTAAGTCATTTGGTTTTCAATATGCATGTTACATTTTTTTTATTTGGACGTTATAAAAGTTATTATTTTGACTGTGAAACAGGATTGATTTTGAGATAGGTAATTTTTTTTATAACTTGGACCAATATAGAAATGATTATTTTAAAATTTTCTCTTAAGAATAATCTTTTAAGCTTAACCAAACGTGCCTATCTTCATTCTTCTAGATAGTTTCATCTTGCACGTGAAAAGTACCACATATGTGCTGCACATGTGACATTTCCTTATCCACTTTGATATATGCCTTTATACTTGAGTTTCTTGAACAATCAACATCTGAAAGGGAGAAAGCATGGGGAATAAGAATAAAATCTCTTTCTTTATTTTGAATAATTTTTCCTCTTTGAAGCTAAAAGATATATTTATCGTTTCTTTTTGAGACAATAGCCCGGACATCCTTTTTATTAGGAAGGGATTGCTTGAAAACCTTATGCAGTAAATGGGCAAAAAATTCTTAAAGAGATGCAAAGAGGTATTATGCTCAAGAAGCTAAATTTCAGCACTGCCACTTGTGACAGGTCTTTGTACCTTCTAAAGCCTTTTGTAAATTTTCTAAATATTGGCGCTAAAGTTTCTAAAAAGTTTTTGTAGAGTTTTTTTTTATTTTGATATAAATATTTAGAATTTGTTTGAATTTCCCAAATATTGGTGTTATATATTCCAAATTCCACGGGTACTTGTCAAATGTTTTTTAATTACCATTGAACTTTAAAAAATTTCTGAGTTGTCACTGAATTTTTTTTTTAAAAAAATTTCAATTATCGTTGAACTGTAAGAACTTTCAAGTTATCATTGAACTTAATAAAATATTATCACATTTGTCATTCTCTACATTAAAAGTTGACCAGACTTAGACTTGATGGCATGATAGGTGAAATGGCGGATGAGATAACATTTGAGTTAGTTCATCTAGTCTGTTAACTTTTAAGACAAGTAACGAGTGATAGATAGGTTAACATTTTGATAAGTTCAGTAGCAACTCAAAAAACATTTAAAGTTCAAAGAAAATTATTCGATTCACCTTATCTCAATTGATTAAGGATTGTTGTTTTCACAACTGAAATCGTGGATTTAAAGATTGGTACCTCCTTTTTCACCCCTCCCTAAAAAAAATGTTTAATGATAATTGAGAAATATTGTTCAAGTTCAATGACAACTTAGATAACTTCAATTTTTTTAATGAAAATTGGAAAATATTTGTAGAACTTTAGTGCCTACTGAATATTTAATTCGAACAATTTTGGTTTCCAAACGGAAAAACTACAATTTTTTAATTCTGTGGTGATGAGCAATTTTTTTCGCATTTACAGCACCAAATAAATTGTAGAAAGCAAGAAAAGTACAAGAAGATATGATCGTTCAATGAGTTCACCAATAACTTAGTTATGTCTTTGCACCAAGCCCAAGACTATGAAAAGATGGCCATGATCATATCCAACTCAATTCAATCGAGGTTGATAAGTGTATTTTGTATACTTATCTAGGCCAATTATTTTGGCCAATTAAATGTAGATATTTTGTATTACTTTTGATGAATTATAACTTATTCTCTTGTACATACTAATTGTTAGGTGAAACGCGATACTTGTAGGTGAAATTGAAGAAAATAAACAAAATTCGGGCCAAAAAAAAAAAGGATTTCAAAAGTTTAAGGACTTCAAAAGTTGATTTGGATTAAAGGCTTACAATCGAAACTTACATAGAGTCAATTGGATACAAATGGAAGACAAATAACTGAAATTGTGATAAGAAAGACCAAGTTATGCCCTGAAGGAAAGTTAGGGACCAACCACAGATTGGTCCCATAGTTGAGACAGGGACGTGATCGCACCGCACAAAGGGCTGCAATCGCAACCCCTATTGACAATTAATATGAGCAAAAAATTGATGAATGGTAAGATCGCATGCATGAAGACCATGCGATGCATGGCTATTTTATAGGTTGTCGGGCTAGTTTCTTTCTACAGTATCATCTCTACGTGGATAGTAGTGGTTGCAATTTAAGCTAATTCTGGAGGCAGAAAATGAGTACAATATATATCATATTGCAAAAAAAAAAAGAAACAGATAGACACTTGGATGAAAAAAATAAAAGAAAAAAAATGCATCACTATAATTGGACATAGAAATGATTATTGGAGTTCAAATTCGTTTAAAACATTAACTCCTTATTCCAATTCACTCTGATTTAACTCTGATGATAAAAACTTAAAGTGGCTCATGTTTTCTTTCCATTCATGCTGTTATAACTGCTTATGTTTAGTTTTTATCCTGTTTCCTAATTAGTATGGAATGATGGCACATTGGCACTGTAACATGGACTAAATCCATCCAATTCCATTGCAGCCAAAACTCTAAACAATATCAAATTCCATAGCTTTTGCAAATCCTAAAGCACCAGTTTATCCTCGTCTCGCTCACGGGAAATCTTGGGATGAAGAAAGTTATCTGGACTGATGTTAGTCAATAATTATGTTTTAACGCATTATTACATCCTGTATAGCTCAAACTTGACTTGTACCTTATGGAAGTTGGATGATTCGCTGCTACCTTAAAAGCTTTTGATTGGTTGATTACAAATTTTTTTTACCCGAATTCTATGTAATTGCATATTGTAACACTTGTAGCATGTTTGGCCGAGAGAATTGGATAGTATTGTCGAGTAAATAAGAGAATTTAAAATCTTATTTATTGCACTGCCTAGTTATATCCACTATTGCACCCAAACATGCCAATAATGTCTTGTTAGACCTTATTCTCTTGCAGAATTGAACTACTATACTTCTTTTTCTTCACATAAATTGCAATCAGCTGATGAAAGTAACATGGATAAGTGGATATAATATAGATGAACCCATTCCTTTGGTGGAACGGGGTTGGAAGGGTCAAGAACAAAAGCGCTCAGCTGCTGGAGCATTAACATTTGAGCAAAACAGCATGTGAGGTATGATTTAATTCTATGATCAAGTTCTTTCTACCATAAGTGTTATAAATTCAGATAGAAAGTGTTTCTATAAGATCGTAATTGGTTAAAGGTATAAAAAGGGGTAAATAAGCTCATAAGGCTTACTTTAACTACTCACAAGTTCTGGTTTTCGAAGGTGTTGTTTGTTTGTTCAACTGATGATACTCATGAAGAAACTTTCTTCTGCACACTTTGTTAAATTTGGAACTTATGTTTGTTGGATCGGAATGTAAATTATTGGATCACTAAAAATATTTTGTTAAACGGTCTTTTATTTTGTTTGCTATGTTTTCTCCCTGAATCTACTGGCTTTTCGTCTCTTGGTCTAACGATAAGGAACGAATGTTAATTAAATCTATAAGATGGTCTCTTTTTCAAGATACATATAGATTTTAGTAAACATAAAAGAATATTATGAATGGACTGCATTTGATAAGGATCCTCAAATTGGCTTGTAGACGTACCTGCAAGAACAGTTGGCTGGTGCGACCATTGTTTCATACATGCAAGTTTCTTAAAGGATTTATTGCCAAATATTGAGCATTAGTTCCCAAAAAAAATGTGTGCCTTTCACCTCTCCCAACTAAAAAAATAGTGAATAAAGATGAAGTGATTTTAAAAAATTCGTGTCAAATGAAGTGATTTTGGAGTTGCGTATGAGGAACGAGGTCTGACTAATTAATTGCCATCTTCAGCTATTGTGTGATTATTATGAATTATAAAAATTAATTCCATGTGTCTTTGGTATCTATTGCTGAGGTTGGCATGTTAGAAATCCTTACAAATTCTCATCAAGTGTAATTTAGTTAGCTGATTTTTCAGGTAGAATGTGATGGTTCAAATGAGTATAGCAATTATCAACCTGGCTCTCTGAATACCACCGATCAACTCATCAAGCATATCAAGAACTTTGACATAGTTTTGTATAAAGGAGATCTCCCATATGCAAATGGCTATAATTCACAATGAGACCAATTCACAGCACAGGTGGAACCCATAGCATTTTATCTTGGCCAGATTTTTACAATGTGTAATAACAATTCATTCTACAGTGGCAATCACGACTGTGATTGCCCTGGGACAGGATCCTTTTATGGTAATTGAGATTCCAGTGGTGAATGTGTGCCAGCTGAGACCATGTCTTATATTCTTCCTGCAGAGAATAGAGCTAAGTTTTGGTAACTAATAATTATTTTTATAAATACTGGAGTTGGAAACATAAGTGTTTGCTGTCAAGGCTGTGCATTGTATGTTAATCATATCTGATTGAAAAAATGACCTATAAACTTCGTTTACAGTTACTCATAACAGATTACGGTATGTTCCACTTCTGCTTAGACGACACTGAGCATGATTGGAGAGAGGGGACTGAGCAGTACAGGTTTATCGAACGTTGCCTTGCACAAGGAGCAGGGAAAAACAGCCTTGGTTGATCTTTGCCGCTCATAGGGTCCTTGATTATTCTTCTAACAAATGGTATGGAGAAGAAGGTTCATTTGCAGAGCCCATGGAAAGGGAAAGCTTGGTAAAGCTCTGGCGAAAGTACAAGGTGGACATTGCATTCTATGGCCATGTTCATAATTTTGAAAGAACTTGCCCATTTTACCATCGCATATTCGCATGTTTGGAGTGGTTGGCTGGATTCACTGGATGGGATCGATGAAGATAAAAAGTTAAAATATTGTCTTTCATATTGTGCAGTGTTGTTGCCCTTGTTTCCATATGCTCTAGGATTCTTCTATCTGATTAGGTTTGCTTAAAATATCTTTATCTAAGTGGTACAGTTTTTGACTTTTTCCGACTGGATCTTGAATTTTACTTCATATAATGGGACAATACAAGTAGTTGTTGTTGGATGAGGGAGTCATTTATCTCGGTTCAGTCCCCTTGAAACCACTTGGAGTCTCTATAAGGATTATGATTTTGGTTCTGGCAAACTGACAGCATCTAACCACTCATCCCTACTTTTCAAGTATAAGAAGAGCAATGATGGAAAGGGGTGTGATTCGTTCATTATTTCAAGAGACTACAAAGATGTCTTAGCCTGTGTGCACGATGGCTGCGAAGTAAACACTTTAGCACTTTGAACCGAACATGTTACATAAAAGAAGCCATTGATAGAGTGTTGGCTAGAATAATTCTGGTTGGTGTATGTGTGAAATAAGGCTTCATAGTAATGTACAATAACGTTTTGTCATGTGTTCATAATTTCAATTTTTTTGTCATCAGATTCTCGTTACTCTCTTTGAATTTTGAAATATATCACAAAAAATATTCTTCAATCTCCAATTCCTAGCAAAGTGATGTGGAGCCCGCCTTCACTTCCAACGTATATCCCAGAGACACTCCAATACCGTATTCAAATTCGAATTCTTGAAATATTTTTTTTTTATTTCGACAAGTAATTCCCTTATTTTGCCTCATTCACCCTCCCGTATGGTTCCTCATTTTTGTACCTATTTGATGTTACTTGTGCTTTGATTGATCCCATCACCTAACCAGATTTATCCTTTTGGTGAGAAGTCATTGTGCTAATGAGAATAAATCCAATGCATCATTGGTGGTTTATTTTTCACATTTTCACATGTTTCTAACTTGCAAATTGCAACAGTAGCTCATAGGTGTTGTGGCTGCAGTTCACGTGTGCTCTCATAGGATTCAATAATGAGATTTGGAAGTATGAATTTTTTTTTTTTTTGTACAGATGGATTTACGGGCATTGAATTGGTTGATTTAACTTTGTTTTATCGTCCAAAATTCAATGAAATCTTGAGCTGACATAGTGTCAATTAGTCTGCAAATACAGCCTATACATGTACCATTTCTGTTTGGAAAAATGGCTAGAGTTGCAAGTCCGCATTTCGATCAAAACTAGTGCGACGCGCGTTGATATCGACCACAAAGTTATAGAGATTGAAAATTTAAATTAATGGCTACGTCTTGAATTGCAAAGTTCTTGCATGATCTATCGGATATTCCCCTAGACTTTTAAAATTATAATGATGGCTATTGAAGGGACAGGTTAAGAATATCAAGAGAATATTTGGTACAATATGGATATGATTGACGAGGATACGATTGAGAGATTGTTTTAAGGCGGATTCAGAGGAATTGTTCTAATATGGCTTGTGGAGTTACATAAGAATGTATTAAGTAATTGAACTTAAAATTTGTCGAAGAATTCGGTAATAAATTATTTAAAGTTTTTCTAGTTAATTGTGTATTATGTATACTTAATTTAATTATTACATATGTAAATTTATCAATAAAATTTCATGTTTTTAAATTCATAAGCAAAAACACTATGTTTATTACATTAGTATCAATTCGAAATATTATTACATCGTATTGTATAAATATATAATTCAATAAAATCAAGATGTACAACAAGTTATATAGAAATATAACATTATATACAAGATTTTTTATTTTTATTTTTTCTAAAATAGACCTGTGTAAAAGTCAAATAAATTATATAAAGTCAATAAAAATTCTACAAAAGTCAATCAATTAATAAAAAAAAAAAAAAATCTAAATTGAATACATCCTCCTTCAATGTACTTACAAATATCTATTTTGTAAAATTACATAATATATATGTATATGTTTCCATATAAACACATGTATTCAATAACTAAAGTAATAACACTTGTAAACAAAACAAGTAATTTTATATGATTAAAATTTAAATGGGTATCAAACGAGAGCTCTATATATGACATGTCAATTTATATTCGTATGATTTACTTTGAGCAAATTAACTATGACTAATTTTAGTTCACGAGGGCAATTTAGGTACGATAACACCATTTCAGATGAGATATGGCCAATAGGTAGTTAGGGGTGAATATGATACTCAAACCTAGAAATAGGTAGGATACTGTTATTGTGAAGGAGTGACTCCGATATTGTCATAAAGCTCAGGAGGTGTTTCTGATATTGTCTCGAAATTATTACAATATTTTTACTAATAAGAATTTTTTTTAAACTTATAAAGCCCCTGTTTGACTTCCTTTAAAACAAAATAAGTTATTTTTCATACTCATTTTTAATCACATGTCCACATAATAAAATATTGCAAATAAATCGAAAAATTTTCCCACTTTTTACCATACATTCTCCAAAAAAATTATTCAAAACATTATTTTTACACAATAATGACCATAAAACTGGGGCTAATATTGTAACTTTTTTCCCAATGATTGTAACTTTCGGGTTTGAGTTAAGCAGTTGCTTTCATTGGGTAGAAGAAAGGGAAATTGGGAAGAATAAAGAGGGACAATACACGAAGAAATTCGTGGCCTAGTTGTCTTACTTAATCATGAATAACAACTGCACTGGAAAAGGACTTTTAACATGGAGTCTTGTGTTGCTTTCCAACCTCGAGAGCCCACAAACAAAGCTTGTACCATCGAATATTTTCACAGTTATGAATTTTCTCAATCGACTGTCTTTCAAGGGACGGTTCTGTCGGTGACCCCTGCCTCAACACAATTTTTTTTTTTTTTTTTTGACGCATATTTAATTTGTTAAACCAATTGAGGAAGAGAGACCTACGCGAGGCTTTTTTCCCATTATCCATCTTGGTGTACTGGCTATCTTCACACTGTTTCAAGACAATTGGTAGATATTAAAATCGGATTAAAATTTATTGTTGACTTTTATTAGACGAGTGTAAACCAATAACGACTATATTTTCAATTTTAATTGAATTTTAAGCACGAACGAACACGCCCTAAATATCATTCCAAGAAGACTCTTGCAATATCTTTAACACACGACAAAAAACCTGGAAAGTACAAAAATGTTTGGCAACATATATACCTTAATACAAAAAAATAAAAAAAATAAAAAAAAAAGATGTGGTTCTCAATTTTTATGATGATACAAGTCACTTAGTGATAGTGTTGTCAACTCAACTCGTTTGGCTGGACAATAAAATTTGTTTTTAGCCATTTATTATTGTAAAATAGTGTACGTATGGTATGTACGAGCGTGTTGGAGGATAAACAACAAAATATCAGATTAATGCCATAATAAAATCCATAACTTGAAAAGATTAAGACAACATTCGATAAATTATTGCAAAAGTGTCACGTATTTGGCTCCATTAAATATGGAATTACACACATGAAAGAGACAAAATACTCTACATTAATTTTAATTGTTGGTTCATTATTCTCGTGCTGAATTAAGCACAGCAAATATTCTTATTTATTTCTAAAAGTTGATGCCAACTTTTATTAGAATCTTTACTAGGGCTCTAAGATAAATCGTGTGGAACCCCCCGCATATCTCTTCAATCCGCAGCACGATAGCAAGTTGATGATTAATATGGGAAAGGCCAACTCAGAATTGAAAAGGATAATTGATCCTTACTTTAAAGTTGAAATATGGGTGGTGTATCTAATTATTGAACCTTTTTTTTTTTTTTTTTAATGAGCATAACGAATTCGAGCAATACCTGACCTGAGTAACAAAACATATTTATAGGTACAAATGATCTTCCTACGTACGTAGACAATGATGCTGTGTTTGACGAATTAAGGCACTCATACAAGATATTCAATTAAGTTATTGACTAACATGCATATGTATCTATAGATATATTCCATATTATTTCACTTAAGGAGCTAAGTAAAATATATAATATATAATACGATAGATATATCGATCGACTACTACACCGACAGGTGGATTAGATGATGGCGAAGGTGGTGATCAAGTGAAGGTCCAAAAATTCCCGGAAACTTGGTTTGGTCTCGTTCGTTCTACCTCGTGATCCTCGAGAGGAAAACAGAAGTTGTCATTCGGATCAGCATAACAAGAAAGTTGCTTCGATGTATCGGCCTGGCCATTGAGCTGAGACGCCACCAGGCGGTCGAGCGCCACCCAGTCTGTTGGCCCTGTTTTCAGATCATCAACAGAATTGCCATTTCGGTTGGTGCAAGAAGTTTGAATGTTATCTGTTAGCATATAGTCCATAGGTTGTTCACAAGCTGCTTTGAAACTGCTGCAATCTTGATCAGTACTGAAAGGTGATTCAATGCTAAGAAGTGATGGAAATGTTGGATTATCCAATCTGTGAAGGGGAAGAAAACCAGCATGAAATTCATCGTCCATCGTTGATTTCATTTGATTGACAAATTGCATATCCTCGTCTTCATCATCTTCGTTATTGTTGATGTTGTTATTGTTGTCGATCATTAATTCCTGTTCTTTCTTGCATGATTGTCGCATGTGCACAAGTATCTGATCAAGAATGCCATCATTATTCGAATTCTGTGCTGTAACACTATTTCTTGAGTAGATTGAAGTGGATGAATTACTCTCTAAAGCTTTGTGGTAATTTTTCTTCTTGAAAACTCGGCAAACCACCCAACCATCTTCGGGCGACATATCCCCCACTAGATTATATGCCTGGATTCGCAATTTTTTAAAAATGAATTATAACTGGAAAGGTAGAAAACATATGGCATGAATGATAAGTTGAAATACTGCTAAAAGGGGAAAAATAATCATGACCTTATCTATTATTGAAGTATTCCATACGGCCTTATAAATTCTTCTCAAATATGCAATTAGTGATCAAACTATCCCATAATCAAACAAAACTTCACTACCTTAACCAAGCGTCATGTGTTCCATAGTGTTAAAGATAAATCACGCATCAATTAAATATACAGTATTAATAATACTTTTGACTATGAAACTTAAGTTTTAATATAGTATCATCGTCCATTAATACTTAATTGAACAAAACAATTTGTTCAAAAGCTATAACGAAGAATTAAATTTCGAGATTGATGTTGAGCCACAACTTGCGGGCATGTTAATTGTAAATCCCACTCCGAATATTGATAAGAACAAAATACACAACAAATACATTTTAAGACATAACTCAAATTATTATATCGTATAAGAGCATATAAATTATAATGCTCGAAAGACCCTTGGAGTTTTTTTGTTCAAAAGCTTCATTGTATATAAACACAAAATAAGAAATTAAAAATGGCCTTTAATTAAGCAATCAAATTATTAGGGAAAAGACATACATTGGGGTCATGAGTATCGTCCTCGAGCCGATACTCATGCATAATCCAATCTGATTTCTGTCCATGTGGAGCTCGTCCTTTGTAGAACACCAGCGTTTTTCTCATTCCAATTCTTTGGGAATTACTATGTATCACTTTATCACGACCAGTAGCCTTCCAGAATCCGGCAGCAGTCGCACGATTTGTTCGAGTCCCGGTGGGGTATTTTTTGTCCTTGTGGCTGAAGAAATACCAATCGTTCTGTGGCGTAGATCCTATTTTACACTTCTCTGTACAAAAAACAATTCATTCAAGGAGAAAATGAGCTGTTTTGACATATCAAGTAGGAAAGATTGCTGTAGGCTTAAATTTACCTTGAATATCCCATGGCTCAAGTTTGTTAAGGTCGACATCACGAATAACATCAAGATCAATCTTCTGGTGAGCTACTTTCTTCCTCAAGTAATACTGCAAAAGCTCTTCCTCAGTAGGATGAAAACGGAATCCTGGAGGCACCTTGGACTGACCATTTACAGATAAATTCATATCTTCTGACATCATGCACCAGCTAGGTGAGAAGTGCGTAGTTGAAATTGAGGTAACAACAAAAGAGTACTACGCACAGGAATCCTCGCTCCTGCCTAAATTTGAAACTAAAATTACGTACGTAGCTCACTTTTATGATGATGAATAAGGCAAGAAAAGGCAAAGAGAGAGGAACATTGTGAAAAAGATAGAAAAGGAGGAGAATACGAACAAGGTAAAGCAAGTTTGTGCGTAAAATAAGGGTTGGGAAATGATGATTTTATATGAATTGGTAGGACGAATAAGGGTCCGAAAATGCATGGAAAGTTTTGTAACATAGCCAATAGTCCCTTTTTTATGTGGGGTCTTTGGCTTCCAGAAGAACCAACCACCTAAATTTAGAGGTAATGTAGGGCCCATTATAGGTACCATATTGTAGGTCCCACATCGGACGTTAGAGGTTTCCCTATATGTAAACTTGGGGTAGGGAGGGGGGTGGAGGGGACATCTCCAAACTGTGACCCTCGACCTTAAAGATCTCAAAGAAAAGCTCCACTGAAACCACCACAACGATTATATTCAAAAAGAATCTCGTTTCTCTCTCTGCCGCCATCACTCGTTTTAGTTGTGCAACCAATCCGAGATGGGGTCGGAGGCAGTGCGCTTTCATGGAAGAAAGCTATGATTATGTAAAAGAGGTTGGCAGAAATTAAGGAGTATATTACGTTTACATTTGACCGGACGACGTATCTATCATCAAGGAGTATATTACGTTTCTATGATGAATTCCACGACTTGAAAATATTAGAATCAATCAAATACAATAAATATATGAAAGGAATGCCTGTGAGTAATGGATGCAAACTGTGTAATCATGAAAATTTAACCATACGAATTCTCCCCCGTTTTGATTAATTGGAACCCACCATTTCCTTTACAACATCTGCACGTGTCTCGGTATCCATATCATGCATCCACTTAAAATACTATCACCCATTCGTGGTGGCCGAGTTGGTGGAGCAAGTGAACGTGGAGATCAAAGATCACGAATTCAAATTATCGCCAACACTTCCATGGTCGAGTCCGTTACACCGGGCTTGCCTAGTGCGGTTTACCTCTCTTTTATGATTTGCTGACTATTACACATGGAGCAGGGTTTACTTAGTGCACACTTACAGTGGTCGGTCCTTCACCCCTTCAAGGTCGTCGAGGTTCCGCCAGCGGGTAGCCAGAGACGGACCGAGCACCCGGCCAGGGGGGCGATCACGCGTGCTGAGCTCAGCAGGACTGACCAGCGCCAGCAGCGCCTGTGTCGGTTCGTCTTCTCTTTTTNATAGAAACTTAATTCAGATTAGCCCTAAATATGGCTAGAAATCGAAAAATTCGAAGTAATTTGAGTGATCGATGTTTAAATATTTATTATTTCTCGTGTGTATATATCATTCATAGGCCGACTTCACCACTGGGATGGTGGGAAGATGGTGAAATACTTGGGGGAAGAGATAGGTAAGCCAGCGGGTCCTAGCTGGCTTGCACGAGGAACGAAAGGCTCGCATTCGTTACGAATGTGAGGGAAATCAAACCAAATTTCCAGGGCAAGTTGTACGAATACGAGTTAAATCCACAGTACCTGCCTTTGTTTATTTATTGGCCTTTGCGTTGGATTCTGGTCTTTTATTCTGATTGCTTAATCTATGGCTAATTCACTGAAAATGAATTGCGGACAAGAGCAGAGGAGACCTCTCTATTCGGTTCTTAAAGGTCATTTTTACTTTTCCCTCTTCCCGTGCCATGATTCTTTAGTTGCAAACTTTGGTCACAAATGCTTCAACATGGAAGAGTAGTTGCATTCATGATTTTATATTGTCCCAGCGCCTATCAGTAATAGAAGTTTCTCTTGATATTCATGTTTTATCTAATGCAACGCTAGACACTTCATGGCCCAAGGTGAGGATATCCATCGTGCTAACATTGATGGTATTAATAAACGACATCGCTCTTACGATCGCTAATTGTCAACGTTAACCGATCAACGTCCGCTCGGGCTGGGATGGTTTGCTGGGTCCGTCCTGCGGGTTCCTACGTTAACAAAAAAAAAAATACTACAATTTAGAAGAGTTTTCTATTGGGTGCCCAGTCGTGCTATAGTTCGACTTTAATTTGAAGAGTTTTCTATTGTGTGCTCTGCAAATATTCCAAGTAAAATACTGCCATTACGGAAAAAATGGATGAAAAAGATATTACAAGATTCAAGGACAAAACTTTGTCAATTGAAGGAGAATGATCAAAAATTAGTTCTAAATTTTTTTAGTTAGTATTTTCTTTATTAAATAATGCAGAATTCAATTTCGATTATGATTTTTTATTTTTATTATTATCTAGTGTTAGATGTTAATTAAGATTAGTCATTAATTAAAGTTAGTCATTTATTAGGATCATTCGTTAATTAGGTTTATTTGTTGATTTAAATAAATATGGGTTGCAGCTTTAATTGTAAGGAAGATGTTTTTGAATTGAAATAAAATATTAATTGTTGAAGTATTCTCTAATTTACAATCCAAATTAGTATTCGGGCACAAATCAATGATTTATTGATAAAATCAAATATTCGGTATTCTTGCAAAAACTCAATAAATATTTTACGATATTCTTTGTGAATTAATGTACTTATTGCTTCCGCGCTATATCAAAGAGACTTTAATGATGCAAAAGAGGCATTTGAGCATGGATATGAAGACATTGACGGGGGCTTTTACATTCTGAATAAAGTGTTTTGACGCACGCTAGCATACACCAAAGAGTATAGCAAAGATAGTAATGAAGAGTATATGAAATTTAGTCGAGACTCATGGTGACACGAAGCACGAAGAAGATCATGAGATATAAAGTTTATATTTTTTAAACTTCTTAAGTCTTAGTGTTCTTCACTATTTGAGTTTTCTAGAATGTATTTCCCTGAGTGAAAGTCAGATTATATGGTCCCTCCCAAGTTTGTATTTGTTTTCATATTTGTTGTAAATATGAGGATGAATATATATGGCATAATAAATTTGAAGAGTTTTCTATTGTGTGCTCTGCAAATTTTCCAAGTAAAATACTGCCATTACGGAAAAATTGGATGAAATAGATATTACAAGATTCAAGGACAAATCTTTGTCAATTGAAGGAGAATGATCAAAAATTAGTTCTAAAATTTTTTTAGTTAGTATTTTCTTTATTAAATAATGCAGAATTCAATTTCGATTATGATTTTTTATTTTTATTATTATCTAGTGTTAGTTGTTAATTAAGATTAGTCATTAATTAAAGTTAGTCATTTATTAGGATCAGTCGTTAATTAGGTTTATTTGTTGATTTAAATAAATATGGGTTGCAGCTTTAATTGTAAGGAAGATGTTTTTGAATTGAAATAAAATATTAATTGTTGAAGTATTTTCTAATTTGCAATCCAAATTAGTATTCGGGCACAAATCAATGATTTATTGGTAAAATCAAATATTCGGTATTCTTGCAAAAACTCAACAAATATTTTACGATATTCTTTGTGAATTAACGTACTTATTGCTTCCGCGCTATATCAAAGAGACTTTAATGATGCAAAAGAGGCATTTGGGCATGGATACGAAGACATTGACGAGGGCTTTTACATTCTGAATAAAGTGTTTCGACGCACGCTAGCATACACCAAAGAGTATAGCAAAGATAGCAATGAAGAGTATATGAAATTTAGACGAGACTTATGGTGACACGAAGCACGAAGAAGATCATGAGATATAAAGTTTATATTTTTTAAACTTCTTAAGTCTTAGTGTTCTTCACTATTTGAGTTTTCTAGAATGTATCTCCCTGAGTGAAAGTCAGATTATATGGTCCCTCCCAAGTTTGTATTTGTTTTCATATTTGTTGTAAATAGGAGGATGAATATATATGGCATAATATGAAAAAAAAAAAAAAAAGATAACAAATGTACAAGAACAAAAAATAATTGACAGGGGAAAGGAGAATTCGTTAAAATATGAAGAAAGAATACATAGATTTTGTATTCACAAATATTGTCTAACTCATCTAAATTACAATGAAGAGTTAACTAAATACAAGGAACGTCTCAAACCCCAGAAATAGAGTTATAGATGGAAAAAAATGTTGAAAATGCGTTAAAAACGTGAAACTAGCCTGGGTTGGACAACACCACCGCTCAAACGTCAAGCAGGCAGTTACTCCGCTGCTCGAGCAACAGGCTGATGCCAAGAGAGTACTTTTGAGCGCTCGAGCCGGAGGCTAGCGGAGAAGTGTCAAAAATTTTTCCCTGGTCTATATCTTGACATCTTCAAATCCAACACAAGTTTCAAACTCTCAATCGAAGTCCCAAATTGAATTTCAACTAGAATTGCCAAATAGACTTTGAATAAGATTCTCAAATAGAATTTGGGTCACGTCCTAATTCTAACAAACTCCACCTTAACACGAATTCCACTTCAATGAACAAAATTTCAAAGATTCTCTACTTGGAGACAATTCCATTGCAAGAAATAAGACTTAACTCTTCAACAAAAACATCTAACAAAATTCTCCATCATGGAAAAAAATTTCGCGTCTACCATAAAACCCAACTAAAGCAAATTCAATGACTGAGTATCAACTTAATTCCAAGCTCTGCTCAACAGGATTATCTTGGACACCAAAATTGCTTGAATTATCATCAAGAGCAACAAAAATTACAAATGATTTAATAATCACCAAACAAGGTAGAAACAAGCCCTGTAATAGAATCAACACAACTAACTGCTTCAATAGAGTGTTTTTTGCTAGAATCAGTACCAAAAACCACATTCAAAGCAAAAGTAATTAAATCAGGATCCTCGTACCTTTGTGGAGTTCTAATATTTCTCTTAAGTTTGTCTTTGGTAATTGAATATGATGACACCACTAGTAATGGTGGTAAAGTGGAATTATCTATAACTTCTAACTTGGCTAAAATATATTCTTCAATGTAGACCCCAAACTAAACTCTGACGATGCTAAAACAAGCTGAA